TATTCCAGCACCCAGGTAAAAGGTTATCTACTTAAAACTAATGTGAGGGAATTTCTCTCTGGATTCTTCAGTATATATTTTGGTTCCCTAATAATATCAAAGATGCAAAAAAGAAAGTCTCTTTCAAACACTGTAAGATGTTTTTTATTATAAAATGTATTAACTCAGGCTCTTATAGTCACCATCATAAAATCATCCACTCATGGACAAAAAGAACACGGGGATGTTAAGGGTGACATTGGTAATCTGTCAAGCAAGAAAAGGAAGATGATAGATAATTAATTTAATTAATTGTAGTAACTCATAGTAGAAGGAAACCTTTTGAATTCCTTGCAAAGGATGATCCCCATTCTGTCACTTCTCAAAGACACTCATCTTATTCCTTCACCACAAACCCAGTCACCCTGACCCGTCAGCCACACATCAATGGACATTTCTTCTTTGCTTGCTTCTTCAGCTTCACATCTGAGATATTGACATAAAGTGGAAAATTCAGAGAACTTATCACTGTACTGCTACTTATGTTCTTAGAAGAGCGTTTTTTCTACCTTTCACTTCATTTTAGATAAAATACATGTGTGTAAATTGGAGGGTAGTGTTAATATTTATTCAGCAGAGATGGAAATCTCCCCCGAATCAGACTTTGTTACAATGAGATGTCAGGTATATTTGCACACTCTAAGGACTGAGTCTTTCCATGTAGGCTGATAGTCTAGGTTTGGACACAAAAGGTCACGTTTTGATGTGTCATGGAGCATGGAATGACAAAAGAAAGAAAGTGGGGCACAAGAGATTTATTCTGCATCTACTTATTTTACCCAACAAGGAACTCAAGGGATATGAAGCATCTAAATTTGAACCTCATGAGATATTTATGATGGATTTTGCTAAGAAATGTAATTTGAACATACCATATTTAACATTAAAATATTTTAATTGTAACTAATACATGAAATTTGTAGGTATATATGTATAGATGTGCTTGAAAGACCCACTGGTGAGTATTGCATTCCATTTCAAATTGAATTATTCAGTTGGTAAAATATTGCAAAAATTGTTGCTAAGAATAAGAATGTTTAATATTTAGGTCTTTAGTTGTTAGGCTATGGTTATTACACCATCTCAGGAATGCTCATTTTTTACATAGAATTTGAAAGAAAAGATGATATTATCCTCAAGGTAAAAAGTTATGATTTGTCACTGACCCTACATTTGACCACTGCAATTAATGTTTGGGTTATCCCAGTACACAGTATTAAAAGTTTAAAGTTACTATTCTCAAATCATACATTTTACCTTGATTCAGACAAAGGTTTTTATTATCATCATGTAAGTATTGTTTCTCTCTCAAATATTTCTCAACATAAGGTAGATCATAATGCAATTTAACATGCAAAGTTAAGTTAGTAAGACATAGTTAAGCTTAATTGCTTTCCAAGCCAATCAAGAAATTTGTTAGTTGAGAGCTGACAGTTTTGGAATGCAAAAGATTTGTCTTTACATATTTTAACTAATTGAACTTGTAATTATTCAGTACTTTCCCTCTCGGAGCACTTAAAAAAACACTTTTAAGTCAATTTCCTGTGGAGTAGAGCAGTAAGTGATCATCAGCTCTATTCCTCAAATAGAAAACATGGGGTAATATAATTTATTGATGGTTTCCCTTCTATATTATGTTTATATTAGCACAGCTAAAACTTTCCAGCAGAAATTGAAAATGCTCCAAAAAGTATATACTTATTTTCTTTATACTTAGAAACTATTTCAAAAACGGTTATACACATTTTAATGGAACTCTGAGAGAAGCCATAAAATGAAAAATAAGATTAACATTGTGGGGATTTTTTTCTCAACATGGGTACAATTATTCTTTTCACAGAGAAGCTGTGAAAATGCTATTGGTGAGATATAATCATGTTCTTGATTCAGGCTTAAGCCGTTGCCTTGATTGGAGAAATGATGTTGAAATATGCTAAAAGGATTACTTACATGTTGGAACAACATCAATTCATATTCTCAGGTTGTTTAAAGACTCCACATATTTGAAAGTATCTACAAACTGAGTAGACAGAAAAGTTCTCAAATATTCACTACATAAATAATGATCTTTTATGTCATATAACTATTATATAGAGAGAAATGCTTATCTTATTTTAAATTATTTAACAACTATGTGGTTTTAATTCAATATCAAATTTAACACAACTGTCACCTACATTTACTGGAAAAATCTTACCATATACATGGAGTAATTCTGCTCAAACTTGCTGAGGAAAAATTATCATAATAATCATAATGATCTGTATTCTATTCACAAAGTAAGCAAAGTGTTTCAAACAAAGAGAACTTTTATAATTGGCATTAATTAGTTCTACTGCTGACAGAGGCCACAGAATATAGAAAGAGTTTCTAACCTACAGAGAAAGTCCCATAGTGTTGGAACATCAGGGGAGCAGATATAAGCAAATTTCAAATGATTCTTTTGCTCTAATTTAATCAATTTGCTATTGCTGTTCGATGATAAATATTCAGGATCTTATTTGCTAGCTAAACTTCAAAAGAGACCAAATAAAGGACAAGTTATGAAAATTTGAAAATGTGTGTGTGTGTGTGTGTGTGTGTGTGAGAGAGAGAGAGAGAGAGAGAGAGAGAGAGAGCGCCAGTGCCTGCCATAGAACCATAAACATAGGCTTGGGGAGGGAGGGTTGGCCGGAGGGAAACAGGTCATTGGTGGTGGAAAGTGAACACTAATGAAGGGATGGGTGTTGGATCATTGTGTGACTGAAATCTGATCATGAACACTTTTGTAACTTTTTATCTCAAGGTAACTCAATTAAAAAGGAGAAAAAAAGAGAAAAATGAAAAAAAAGAAAAGAAAATGAAAGAAATCAGAGTAAAAGTTAGATTGCATATACCTTACCCAATTTCAATATTTTATAGTTAACTAGGTTTAGTTTTTTATTACTGTTTTGTTGTTGGTGTTGTTGTTGTTGTTGTTATTTGGGGGCCATATAAAGTGGTGCTCAGTGCTAACTTCTGGCTCTGAACTCAGGAATCACTCTTGGTTGGGTGGTGAGGACCATCTGGTGTATTGGGGTTCAAGCCCAGGTCAGCAAGACATAAGCCTTAGCGACAATAATTTCTGTCTGGGAGCTAAGTTAGATTTTAGACGTTTAGATTTAATGGCATTGATAATAAAATTTTAAAATTCATCATCTACACTTATATACATATTTTACATTAGGAACAGTCATAAAACTGTCTATGGATGATATTTTCAGTCAATTATATGATACTTTCATCCTCACTTATCAAGACAATTTTAGTCGAAGGAACTATTTTCTTTCTAAGGATCATATTCACAAATCATAGTATATTGTCCTAGTTTTTATTGTAGGTAGTTGATTCAAAACTAATATGATGGAGTGTGACTATAGACAGGTGAATCAAATGCTAAACTTTTCAGAAAGAATATTCACCTGATGAAAATTAATAGTCTTTGCAATATTATTAAACTTATTTATTTTAGTGATCTAACAATTTAATCCAAAAATCAATAAAACATATGTTAGATGGTGTATTTACATTAACATTTTATCATGGATAAATTTTATAAGCAATTTATGATGGCCTTTGATAATCTTTAAAATAGCAAGTATATCTTAGTCATACAAAATCTATATTTTATCTCTATCAGTATGTTCTGAAAACATTAAGTCAAACCTGGTTTTTAGCAATAAGGAAAATCCTAATAAATTATTATAATAATGGAAAATGGTTAACTTGCCATAGAGTTCATCCTTTATATATATTTATATATATCTTTCTAATATTCCATTCTATTTTTCCTTTCCCATTTTCTCTCTTTAACCTCTGTATGTTCTCTAGTTTCCTGTTTCCTTCACATTCTTCACTTTCTTTAATTCCCATATCCTCCATCTTTATCCAACCTTCTCCTTCTCATTCTTCCCTTTTTTCATTTCTCAGATTCAGTATATTCAAAGGATTAAAATCATCAAGCAATAGCACAAGAAGAATATAATAGACCTCAGTAGATAAACACTATTAAAAATTTGGGGGGTGATGGGGGCTGGAAAGGGCATTTACTTTGTGCTTGGCCTATGTGGGTTTGATCTATTTCACCTCATAGGGGATCCTGAAATCCTCAGGAATGATACCTGAAAGCAAGTCAGGAATAAGCCCTTAGCAACACTAAGCATGACCCCCAAAAGCAAAATTTGGCATTCAAGTTATAGTTCGAGTGGAATGCCCATTCCTTTACAGAACCCATTCAATCTCTGTTGCAAAATATAGACTCAATACTGCATGTGGTTCCCTGACCACTTCCAGCAAGGACTTCTGAGGACAGAGTGAGGAGCAAGTTCTGGTGTAAGCCAGGAGTAAGCAAAGCTGGATGTAGAACTCCAATAAACAGAAAGTACATAAAATACATTGGTATGTGGTACATAGAAATAGTTGGATGAAAAAAATGAAATGTATTAAAGGTAGTATGCTTAAATCATCCTAGACCCCAGAGCACAGAGAGGAAAAGGACAGAGAAATCGGGTGTGGGGGGGTGGGGTGGAGAAGGGAGCCGTAAGAAAAAAGAAAGTGAGACAATAAGGGCTGGGGTTTGGGATCATAAAGACTTGGTTCATGAATGGTGTAGAGGACTGGGATAGTTATATTTTCAGAATCAACAACACTGAAATAAAGAGATCCAAATTTCCACAACCAAATTTAAAAATGGTCCTATCAAGGTGGCAGCCCAAGGCTGTTGTTGGTGGGTGTCAGGCAACCTGGGAACATTGGAGGAGGAAGTTAACAGTGGAAGTAGGATTGGTGCTGGATGTCTGAAACTCAAAAATGGATAACTTTGAGTTTGCTTAAAACAGGGAGCTTTAATAAATGAATTTTAAAAATAAAAAATTGAAAAAAAATGTTTGTTATCAGGGATGTAACTCAAAGTGAAAGGGACATGAATATTATCTTCAGCAGTCATGGTTCCTGAGTTCTGCCAGAAACATTCCTGCCCTCCACCAAGATCTCTGGGTGAGATCCCACTATAGTAACAAGTATGTAGAAGTAAATAATCCATCATACAGTTGGTGAATAAGAATTGAAATTGAAATACCCAGATGATAAAAAGTGTATTCACAGTATATCAAAATTTGTGGTACAATTAATTATGGAAGATACATAGTATTTAATGGCCACAGAGAATAACTTAGTATTTATCGGAAAACACTTAGGTGGGGGGAAAGGGAGTGGAACAAAATAATAAAAAATTAAAGGAGACAAAATGGAATATGAATTGGATAGTGAGGGGGGCAATAGAGAAATTGATGAAATCAAATGTTTATTTTTTTAAAGTCCGACAAAATTAAGAAAAATACTAGATTAAGAAATATGGAAACGTGTTTAACAACAGCATAAAAACAAATTTAGTGAAGGAAATAAGACGCTCGAATAGTTCCCAGGTAAAAAAATGAAACTTGAGAAAAATTTAAAATCCTTCCAGAGAGACGAGGTCAGGATGAAGAAAAGGGGAAGGAGAGTGCTGAAAACCCTAAAGTACTGACAAGCCACAAAGCTGTGTGGAATGGAAACGTTTTCACCTCCTGGGGCTTCTGGACCAATAGGAGGCTCTTAACATTGTGAGTCACCCCAGGACCCACAGAACAATGGGACCCCCAAAGAACGTGCGCTCATCATAGTCAACGACTGTGAAGTGAAAACCGTTCTCACCCGTCGAGGACGGCGCTTCGGCCACATCCTGTCTAAGCTGCTAAACTAGGGGCAAGGTCACCTTCTACCCAGGCCCTAAGAGCGGCCACCTGGCGCTAAGCACCAGCATCAGCGGGGCCCAATCACAAGATGCGCATCGTCATCGCCTTTGTGGGAAACCCCGACGCTGCCAAGAAGGATCTAGTGAAGCTCGTTAAACGCCTGAAGAAGGAGAAAGTCAATGTGGACATTATCAATCTGGGGACACAGGAGGTGAGCACGGAAAAGCTGACGACCTTTCTGAAAACCTTGAATGGGAGCGGCGGGAAAGGCTCTCACCTGCTCACGGTCCCTCTTGGACCCAACTTGGCTGAGACCATCATCGGTTCTCAGATTCTGACTCGGAAAGGCCGGGCCGCATCAGCGTCTGGTACCAAAGAATTTCCCTTTGGAGTGGACCTCACCGGGCTGGCCCTGACCCTGCGTGTTTCGATGGAAGAACAGCGCCAGTGGCAGAAGACCGGGGCCAAGGAAACACCTCCTGCCACCAAGGCGACGGTTGTGGCTCGGAAGAAGGAAAATTCAGAAGATGCCCTGCTGAAGAAGACCATCAATGAGCAGGAGTTTGGCCGCTTTGGGTTCCCTATCGCGGGCAGTAGGTCCAAGGAGCGGCAGAAGGCTTATGGCTCGCAGATGAGCCCCGAAGATGCTGAGCTGGGCCAAGGCACATCAACGGCCACGGCCACCCAGGGCACATCCAAATCAGCCATGGAGGAGGAGGATTATGACGTCTTGCAAGATGCTGAGTTCCTGCAAAGTGTCCTCGAGAACCTGCCGGGGGTAGATCCCCAAAGTGAGGCCATCCGAAATGCTACGGGCTCCCTGACCTTGGGGGACTCCCTGTCCACCAAGAAGGACAACAAATAAGAACTCGTGGTGAAGAAGGCAGTGCCACTTCCCATGGGGCTGCATTAGGGTTGGATGACGTGTAGCACTCCAACTGGTACTTAGGAGCATTCATGACCTAAATCTGGGCAAGTTTCCCTGTCAAATAAAATAAAATTTAATTTAAAAAGCTTCACAGAGGAAATCATAATTACCTATTTAATTGGAGGCATCTCAAAGATTTAAAGAAATAATCAAAACCCTATCGCTCCTGTAATTCATTTGACAGAGTCCAAACCATTAAAAAAAAAAAAAAACAAACAACAACAACAAAAAAACCCAAAAGATGATTTTGTAGACAGCAGTCATTGATGCCATTTTTAAAGGATGTGGGATTAAACCCAGTTGTAAATTAAACAAAACAAAAGCGCAGTTTAGTACAAGGTAATACTCTTGTTTCAAAATATTTCTATACTATAGTGGCTGCCGAAGGTGATGAGATGCTCATAAGTGATGTACCAAGAATCCACTCTAGGAGTTCTCATATACAGAAAATGCTCTAGCACACAACCAAACTAGGTTTAATCCCCTCCACCCAAGTAGGGTCCCTGGAGTCCCACCAGGAGGGATCCCTGAGAGAAAATCTGGGAATAATCCCTGAGTTAGTGGGAGTGGCTTAAAGAAACAAAATAGCAAGCATGAGCTATATCACTTTTGCCACAATCTCAGTCCCTAAAAGGGTATTTCTTTAATGAATAGAAGAACTCGATAATGTCTTCATCTTAGGTTCTTTCAGTCTCAAAACTATGTATGAAGAAATTTTTTAATACCAATATTTACTTTTCTTAAAGATCTGGAACACTTAGATAAATAACCAATTTCTGTGGTCTAGAAAGTAAAGAAACATTTCCCTAATAAGATTTTTATTTAGAGTGGAACCGTTTCCATGACCTTTGTTGGAAATTCACAGGCATTGCACAATATACCCTATCATTCCTAAACATTTTTATGAGGGACGATTTTTATTTTAATGCATAAAAAAATTTATAGACATCTCAACAATTATTTTTTCCCACTGAGTTCTCCACAATTTTATGAAAGGATAAAATTATCTGGTACTAAAGGTAAAATTTTGATAATTGCCATCTTTAAAACTTCATATCTAGCACCCTCAAGTGTAATTCATATGCTTTAAAGTTGCCACCATCTTTATAACATTTACACTCAAAAATGACTCCATATGACTTCATTTCTAACCAGATTAAATATTAATGTTTCTAGAATAACAAACAAAAAAGACATTTCAGCATTTGAAAAGTTTTTTGCTACTCCATAAAATAAAACATTAAAATTCCTTAGTTATCTAAAGAGCCCTACAATTCCCTTGGCAATCAATGATTTTGAAAACATTTTTCCCTCTGGAAATTAGATTGGTTTATGTATAACTGGTATGATGATTTAGACATAAAAGTTTCCGAATATCACTTTATGCTAATAAATTCCCAGGAGAAGAGCTACTGTTTCATCAAATAAATTTTGCAATCTTAGAAGCAGCTACATTTTGCCAAACTATTGAATGCATTTCTATATTTGATTACCCTGCACCTGTGTGAAATGATCAGCAAAGCAGTATGCATTCTGAGTGAGTGAGTTACAAATTTGGCTGTTATTGTATTGATATTATATTCATTTATTTATTCTAAGTCTACTTACAGCATGGGAATCATAAGGAACACTGGATGTTATTTTCTATTATATCAGCTAACTGGTACATAAACCAAATATTAAGAAAAATGTGTTTGGGACATAGTTCAAAGCCAAATATTGCCTAGAGTATGTCACTGGACTCCCAAGTACTTCTGAAAAGGCCAGAAAAAGAGAAAAAAGTAAATATGTATGGTTATGTGTTTTATGTCACAAACTTTCAATTTCCTATTTAAGAGCTAATAAAATCTCAATGGCCTTATAATTATGCCATTTGTCATGAACTGCAAAACAAAATTTAATGCATATTTGTACAATATTAAAAATTCAACAAATAATTTACCAACTTTAAATATTGCTTTTATGAATTGTTACCACTATTATAAGCTCTAAATAATTTCTTGCATGGATATATTTTCTTACATGAAACGGCAATTCCCTCTATCATTAAACAAAACAAAATATCAAAACGAATAAATTTTCTGCCCAAATATTTATTATATGTTATTTATCCTTAGTGTTCAACAGCATTCTCATGATAAGAAAATAATTAGAGAAAGCAAAATGGCTGTACAATTTCAGAAACTAAATTACTTTGTCCCTTATATTAAAAAAACTATAGTGTTTTAATCACATGACTGCAGTTGACTTGAAAATATTGAAGTCTTTATTTTTGATTCTGTGCACCATAGACAACAAATAAGTTTCTTTGTCCATTAATGAACAAACAAAATTTTGCTCAGCTCCTATTCCCCATGACTGTATAGTCCATTATTTCTCTCATTTTTCCAGGGATTTCTTGAATAAGAGATACATATTGATAATGCAGAGTGACTCAAGAATCCCACTTTATTTTTTTATATTTTGATTTTTAGGTGTTTGTAGGGACGGTGTATAATCTCACCATTTGATATCTGTATCTTTCAAAATTGATTCATTTAAAAAACGTTTTATGTGGCATACTTCTAGCAAAGGTATACACAATGATATCTCAGTGACAGTTGAAGGCAGTTTACATCCATCTGTGTAGAAATTGCAAAAAATGGATATTATGCATCCCTAATATTCAAATGCCCTTGGTCAATTTACTATTAGTTCTTATTGACCAAATTTTTTTTCAGCAGTTCCCAAAAGTCTTTCAGTATATTGATCAGAACCACAATATTTTGTGTGTATTTTCTTGTTAATATTTTCTATACAATTTACCCCTGTGTGAAAATTCGTATAAATTTTCTTGTTTTGAACTTTTAAATCTCAATATATGAGTTAATTTTCACCAGTTCTTGATTTATTTCTTGTCTTTTGCAATCCTGATCTGTATCGGTATCTTAGGATTCTGATACTTATGGACTACGATCAATTGCTTCTTTGTTGTTTCACTTCAAGCTGGTTTCAGTCAGTGAGCTACAATAGCAGGAAATCAAAGGGTATAAAGGAAAGAAATCAGGGTTTCCCAGTCTAGAGTTTCTAGGTGTTTATGTCCTTCTACATTAAAAAAATGTGCATACCATACCCAATTTTCAAACCTGCCTTCCAAGATAGGACTTCCATATTAAACATAATATTTCACAAATTTGCTTTTATCAACCGACAGAATTCTTTTTTAAAATGGTTTTATTTTTATAAAGTTATTCACACTAATTCATTACACTTAATATTCAAACACCAATCCCACCACCATTGCAGCTTCCCACCAATATATTTTGAGTGTTTCCACCTCTAATCCCAAACCATGACCCCCAAACCATACAGAAATATTAATTTTGTATTGCTTTCTGTGAATAATCCACTAAAATTAGTACAATAAATTTTCCTTAGAGGATAGTGTATGAAAATTGCTGTATTTAATCTTGGGACCATTAAGCCCAAACATTTTTAAATGCAATTGAATTTCATATGCTACTCTTGGTACATGAGTGCTGTAGAGTATGAGATGTCATGCAAATGCAGCCGTGCACTCTAAGAATTCTAAAATTTAGAGTACAATTATAGAGCAGATTCTTTCATGGGTGAGGCCTATGCTACTCTCTCCGGAGTTTTATTTCTGAGTATCTGGATCATGGCAATTGATGAGAGTATGTAGAGCCAAAGGCAGTTTGTAAGTGTGACTCCAAGCTACTGGTAAACTTGGGAGATGGGGGAAGAGGCCCATTCCTGCTCCAAGTGAGTTTGGAGATTTCAGTCACGAGTTCCACATACCTGGGTTTTACTGCAGATTCAATCATGGCTCAGGGTCTTCCAAACCTGTGAAGACATTATTCAAACCTTGGGGCTGGAGGATCTGACAGGAGTAAGATACTTACCTTGGTCTTAGCCAGATTCCTTCCCAGCACGGTTTATGGCCCTCTCAACACCTCCAGAAGTGATCCCTAAGTACAGAGGTAAGAGTAACCCTTTAGTACTGCTGGTTATAGCCCACCCCCACAACCCCCGGAAGTCCCCACCATTTCCAAATACAAATGGCTAGAAATTATGCAACGGAGTGATGTTTCAATATAAGGTTTAGGACTGCTTTAGGAGGTATGCAGTATTTATCTAATATATTAGCTTTCAATGGATTCTTAATATTACCACAATTTCAGCAGCGTAAAACAACATAAAACTATTTGTTGAGGACAATTATACTTTTTATGGATTTAAGACAGTTTCTCATTTTATTTTACTTTAAATTTGTTTCATTAATATAGCTATTTTATATTTTTACATTATCATTTATTTTATATTTTAAGGAACACAACTCTTTCACCTGGCTATTGATATAATCCAAAATTATATAAATCAGTATAATGTGGGGCTGGAGCAATAGCACAGCGGGTAGGGCATTTGCCTTGCATGCAGCCAACAAGGCAGACCCGAGTTCGATTCCTCCACCCCTCTTGGAGAGGCCGGCAAGCTACCGAGAGTATCTCTCCCGCACTGCAAAGCCTGGAAAGCTACCCATGATGTATTCGATATGCCAAACACAGTAACAACAAAGTGTCACGATGGAGATGTTACTGGGCCCACTCGAGAAAATCGATGAACAGCAGGAGAACAGTTACAGTATAATGTAATGTTATGTCTTGATTTAGTTAAGCAAAAAAAAAGAGTTTAGGGGCTAGAGCAATAGTACTGCAAGCAGAGCATTTGCCCTTCACAAAATTATCATGGGTTTTATGCCCTGAAGCCCATTTGGTGTCCCCAAAGCCCTGCCATGAGAGACCACTGAGTGCAAAGCCAGGAGTAAGCCCAGAGCATGGCTGGGTGAAGAAACAAGTTTATTGGCAGTGGCAGCAAATAGAAGCAAGATTAAATGACTCCACAAATATAGCTATTTTATATTTTTACATTATCATTTA